GGAAGGAGGAAGGGAAAGGGAGGGGGAAGGGGGAGGTGTAGGAGGCTCATAAAGAAAAGCATGTGGGGCAGGTTAAGGAGGAGGAGGAAAAGGAGGAAAGTTGAAGGAGGCAGATGTAGGACTTCAATCGAGAGAGAAAGAATGAAATGGAAAAATAGAAGAAGGAAACGAAAAGGGAGAGAGGAAGTGAGTGATAAAAGTGAAAGAGGGAGAGAGGAGGGGAAAAGTTCTTCTTCTTCTTCTTCTTCTTCTTCTTCTTCTTCTTCTTCTTCTTCTTCTTCTTCTTCTTCTTCTTCTTCTTCTTCTTCTTCTTCTTCTTCTTCTTCTTCTTCTTCTTCTTCTTCTTCTTCTTCTTCTTCTTCTCTCTTCTCTTCTCCTTCTCCTTCTTCTCTTCTCCTTCTCCTTCTCTTCTCTTCTCTTCTCTTCTCTTCTCCTTCTCTTTCTCCTTCTCTTCTTCCTTCTCCTTCTCCTTCTCTTCTCCTTCTCCTTCTCTCTCCTTCTCCTTTCTCCTTCTCCTTCTCCTTCTCTTCTCCTTCTCCTTCTTCTCTTCTCCTTCTCTTCTCCTTCTCCTTCTCCTTCTTCTTCTCCTTCTCCTTCTCCTTCTCCTTCTCCTTCTCCTTCTCCTTCTCCTCCTTCTCCTTCTCCTTCTCCTTCTCCTTCTCCTTCTTCTCTTCTCCTTCTCCTTCTCCTTCTCTCCTTCTCCTTCTCCTTCTCTTCTCCTTCTCCTTCTCCTCCTCTCCTTCTCTCCTTCTCCTTCTCTCTCCTCTCCTCTCTCTCTCCTCCTCCTCTCTCCTCCTCCCTCCTCCTTCTCCATTTGCAATGTCTATATGTGTCACTTAATATGCTGTATCAAGTTCGTAATTAACAGTTATCCTTGCGCAGACTCCATATCCTCTCTCTAGGTTGTCCATAACTCAGTGCAGTGATAATAACAATAAGTAACATTTTGTTATTTGTGTCCTTTTTTTATTGTTTCATAATATGCAATTGTTTCATTACGATTCACATCATTTGGATCCAAGGGATTAGTATGTATATGTATTTGTGAACATGCCGTATATTAATAGGAATATATATCAAAGTAATTGTAGCATTGGAGCCTTAAACATAGCGATCTCCTTAAACTGGTACAAAAAATTTCATCTTGCTATGTTCTTTTTCAAGAGTGTTTAGACATCTTGAAAGAATATAGATCATTTGATTACTTTTGTTGTACCTATTATAATATATACAATAATGTGGTAAAAAGTACTTTTTTGATGCTTTTCTTATTTACAGTTTGAAATTATTCTGAATGCTACTCTCTAATATTCAGTACCTAAATCTTTGCACAAATCATGCATGGTAATTGCAATGGGGAGAGAGTAGGATAAATAAAGTAAATATGATTTTCCTTGATTTGATTAGGTCTGTCAAAACCATGCTAATTGTTCTTATCATTCAAGTATTACACTTTCTGTACAAAATGCATGTATTATAGATGTATGATAATATCATTTTTATGTAATCTTGTATTTCTGATTTGCAGTTTTGTATGATATACTTCATATGTAGTTGATACCAATAATTTTGATAATGGTAATACCATTTTTTTGCTGCTCTGATATTGTTTTGATAAGATTATACTAATTTGACTTATCTTTCTTTTCAGGGATGTATTCGCTTCAAGAAGCGTTAGTGCCTTATATGAAAAGCTCAAAAGGTAATATCCAGAGAGATACTTATATTGTAGGTGAAGTCTCACAAGCTTAGCATTCAGTAACTGTAAGGTTTTGAAAACTAACCGTTTTTTCCCTGAATAGCTATTAGCTTAAGCTTCCCCCCCCCCTAAAAAAAAAAAAAGCTGGCAGTACAGAGACAACATACAAGGCTCTTAGAGGGTCCTAGATTCAATCCTATGCCGCATGTGCAGAGTACACAGCCAGCCATACCAATTTAAATTTGACAGTGATGTAACAAGATGTACACAAGTTATTTTTATTATAAATTTGATAATGATGTAACAAGCTGTACAAAAGTTATTTTTATTATTAGGTTTGTGCAATGAAAAGTACAGTATGTATATTCAAACAAAATACTTAAAACAATATGGTAACTGTTGTAGGAATGAAGATTACTACTGATGCCAATCTATTTTCCTCCAGATTGCTATGCAGCTAAGTGAGTCGCAAGACATGAATGCCTTGGAGAGCAGATACCTGTCAGATTTGCTAAATAGGAGATAGTAAGAGGAACTGATTGCTTGTTGTACCACTGCTCTTTTTGTATTTTTTTGAGTGTTGTAGTATTTATTTGGAGAGACGAGCAATGGAGGTTGCTTGCCATGAAGATGTTGTCAGTCAAAAACAAGGAGCAGGTGAAGATTGTGAAAATGAAAGGAAGGTTGATGTAAATAGAATAGGCAGCTTTGAAGTGGGAAATGCCCCTCGCAGGATGAGGACAGGATTTCTCCAAGAAGACATCATCCTCAAGGAGGAGCTGGTTGATGATCCTGATGGTCTTGTTGAGGATGGTCCAAATGCCTCTGGAGGACACAGTGATATGTATGCTGCAGAATTTGTTGTTGTCCAAGAAAAGTCTGAGGTTGTAAAGAATGAAGCACCCCAGATGTGTGATGGAATGGATGTTGATATTAAAGTAGAAAAAGAAAGGAAAGTGAAGACATACCAATGTGAAAATTGTGCATGGGTATGCAACTCTCTGTCAAATTTAAAGAAACATAAGATGGTGCACACTGGGGAGAGACCACATACTTGTACTGAGTGCAATAAGACCTTCAGACAGATTCATCACTTGAAGGATCACATACGGACACACACAGGTGAACGACCTTTTAAGTGTAATGAGTGTGGATCAACTTTTGCACAAAGATCTTCATTAAATGTGCACAAGAAAAAGCATACAGGCATCAAACCCTTTGTCTGCAAGATTTGTGACCATGCAACTTATGAAAAAGAGCACTTGGTGATCCACATGAGAACTCATACTGGGGAAAAACCATATCAGTGTGAGGAATGTGGTCAGACATTCTCTACAATGACAAGGTTAAAGTTTCATATCATGATACATACAGGTGAGAGAAGATATACATGTGAAGAATGTGGTGCCCGCTTTCGAGAGAAGGCAACCCTTCAGAAACATCGTGGGGTTCACTTAGTTAGAGGGCCATTTCCTTGTAAAACATGTGGCAAAGAATTTCCAAGATTAGCAAGTTTATCTCTTCATCGTAGAATACATGAACAGCCAGTATATCCACTGGCTGAAAATAGAGGTAATAGTCTTCCATCCACAGATCAAGTAGCAACAAATGTGGACCCAGCTGCAGCTTATACACATGTACTCAAAGACACAGAACAATATGCTAAGAAGGAAGAAATAGTGAACAGACCATGTACCTTTGAAAATATTCCACATGTGACAGAGTCAATTGAGTTATCTACTTCACAAAGTAAGCAGGTATATTTTAATGAAGTACAAGAGAATCAACTTGTAAGTAGTGAAACTAGTCATAATGTTTGCCCAGAACAACAGGAAAATGTAATTCTAGAGTCTTCACCACTCAATTCCTCATTTAGTAATAGTGAAACAATAGTGCGGACTGAAAATGAATCTCAGGGTGTGATAAGCATTGCAGACCCTGATCAAGTACAAAAGGCTCTGGAAAGTGGGACTGTATGGGAAACACACCAAGAAAATGGGGAGGAGCTTCTGATTGTGATACCACCATCCTTGACAGGAAGAGAAATAACATTAGTCTCTGATGTGAATCGCATGCATAACAGAGAACCAACATTCACACAGACAGCACCTCCAGGTTTCCACCTATCACAGCACCAGGCTGAAGTTGTACAGGATTACCCACCAGTTATTCATGAAGAAATCCATGAGAAAGTGCAGCAGAGTCATCCACATATTGTACAAGAGGAGCACAACTCTGAAGTACAGACTTATCCTATAGTGCTTGAAGAAGAAGTGCATGAAACCAATTCAGGTCTCTTGGTGTGGGATGATGGCCTAGATCCGGTTACTGAAGTAACATATGTAATAGAGGAAGGGGCTCAGGATCCAATCATGATACATCAAGATCAAGCCCACTTTGTACATGAAAGTAAAGTGGTTACAGAAGTTACAAGGAAGAGAAAGAAAACAAAGGAGTTCTGGCTTATGGATGGAGAAGAAAAGCAAGAAAAAGTGAAGGAACAGGATTCTGAATCAGTGAGATCTGTTTTAGTTAAGACAAAGATTAAAAAGAAAAAACAAATTGATAAGAAAGTAAGAGTGCGCAAAGATTATGACTGTCAGCAGTGTGGGAAGTCCTGCAAAACCTCCTCCAACTATAATACTCATATGAGAAAACACACTGGGGAAAGGCCATATTTTTGTGGTATATGTGGTCTAGGCTTCAAACAGATACCTCACCTCAGGGGCCATATCAGAACTCATACTGGTGAAAAACCATATACTTGTACCAACTGCAATGCAAGTTTTGCTCAGACTTCAAGGTTGAATATCCATAAAAAGAAATGCAATAAGGAAACACCAGTTGCTGCAAAGAAACCAAAACTAGAACCTGCATGTAAGGTGAGAAATTTCTATTGTAAAATCTGTGATAAGACTTTTATTGATGAATGCTTTAAGAGAGACCATATGAAAACACATATGGAATCTAGCCAGTACACCTGTGAAATATGTGGTATGACTTATAAAAGCAAAAGTAGCTTGCAGAAACACAAGCTGGTACATTTTAAGGACAAATGGAGCTGTCAGTTATGTGGAGAAAGTTTCAGTAGTAAGGCAACCTTGCATTTCCATAAGATAGCAGTACACAAAACTGATGAAGCTAGTAATGATGCTTCGGGAATGGTTATAAATGTGAAGATCGGAGAAGAAAAAGACTTTGTTGTTATCAATCCTTCCATTAAAAATGTATCCAGTGATTGTGGGATTGATGGCCAGATTAAAACAGAAAAGATAGAAATTACAGAAGCAGACAATTATTGTGTCAAGAGAGAGATAATACAGATTACAGATGCAGAGGATGGTACTGTGAAAAGTGAGGTAATGTCTGCAGGTGATGAGGAGAGTTGTACACAGATATCAGATGCTGACAGAAGTACCAATGAGGACCAGGGGACTGATTTTGCTAAACCATTAGGTAATGCAGATATAAAAGCTGAAATTCAAGACTTACTTACTGTGGATGCACATCACTCAGGAGATGCAGGGAAGAAGGAAGGTGGTGCAGGAAAGTTAAAAGCCATTTATGATGAACGAGGAAGGAAGGTATTTGTTTGCAAAGTGTGTGACAAAGCCTTTTTACAGTCATCAAATCTCCTTAGTCACATGAGAATGCATACAGGTGAAAGGCCCTATAAGTGTAATTTATGTCCATTAGCATTTAGACAAATAACTCATCTCAAAGATCACATGAACACACACACTGGTGTAAGAGCTTTTAAGTGTGGAGTTTGTCAAATGACTTTTTCTCAGAGGTCAGCTGCCAGGCGCCATATAAAGACAGTTCATGATCGCAATGCAGATGTTGTCAAGATTGGAAATGTTTATTCACTGCGAAATGCCCCAACTGATCCTGATAATCAAGCTCAGGAAACAAATGATCTGGATCAAATTAGTAAGATGAAAAAGGGGAAAACATCTGGAAAGGTCTATGAAACATGTGAGAAATGTGACAGGAGGTATTCAACCTCATATATGAAAATCCACCTAAGGTGTCACTCAGGTGAAAGGCCTTTTAGTTGTGATGTTTGTAAACAGTCATTCAAACAGAAGTCACACCTTTTGTCTCATATGCTGCGCCATACAGGAGAAAAACCCTATGTATGCAATATATGCCATGCCTCTTACACTCAGTCATTTAGGCTGAAAGAACATATGAAGAAATGTATGGAAGAAAAGATCAGCAATGAAAAAGGGGATGATGAACAGGGTAATAAAGTGAATAGAAAGAAAGAAAAAGGAAAGGTTACAATTGATATTAAAAATGAATTTGTATGCAGATGTGGTGCTACTTTTAAGAGACAGGTTCTCTTGACAAGTCACAGGCAGAAATGTACTTGGAACATTGAAAGTGATCACAGCACAGATGTTAGTGATGAGGAAATTCCTTACAATGATGACACTGATGAGGAAATAGAACCAAAAAGTAGGCAGGATGGTAACAAAGGCTTTACCAAGAGAGAGAAAGAGGACAAGGGACTTCCAACAAAAGTGGACAAAAAATTGAAGCAGTTCACATGTAGCAAATGTGGAAGGTTATTTGAGGATTTCCTTCTGTACAAAGATCATTTAAAAGAGCATAGCAGTAGTCTAACAGAGGTTTGTGAAGAATGTGGAATAGTTTTCAGAAGGGCTTCAGCTTTAGCATTTCATCAGAAGATGAATCACAACAAGTCAAATGATGAGTGGTCATATGGTTACAGTGAAGAGAGAGAAGTTCATGTTAAAAGAGAAGTCATTAGTAGTGATGAAGAAGAGTTTGAGCAAGTTCAACATATTGAAAAGGTGAATATAAAGACAGAAGATACAAGAGCGTCAAAAATAGAATGCAGAGGAGACGACCACCACCAAGAAAAATCTGAATTGAATTTAGGAAAAGGAAGGACAGGATCTGGTGCCAAGGAAGAGAAAATTGTTCCAAGTGGTAATACATATGCAAGAGAAAATAACTGTTTAAGTACAAATCCTACTGTAGAACAGAAGGAAAAGAGAATGATCAGAAGAACTAGAAAACCTCTAAAAGAACATATTTGCACACTGTGTAGTGAAATTTTTAAAAGTCAGATAGACCTGAATAAGCACACAAAGATTTGTAAATTGATGGAAAGTTCTGTGAAAGTCAAAAGAAAAAAGGACTTGTCTGAAGATACTTCTTGCAATAAAATTGTTACTGAAGTTGAGTGTGAAAATGATACAAAGACAACAGAAATGCAGTATCCTTGTAAACTGTGTGGTCAGACTTTCACTAGGTCATCAAAGCTGAAACATCATTTGAATATGTGGTGCAAAGGTATGAAAAAGGAATCTAAAACTTGATGAAAGCTACATTTCAAGTATATCTGATAGTACATTTTAGGTGGCAGGTTGATTTACTTTTTTTTTTTTTTTTTTTTTTTTTTTAGATATTGCTGAAAGATGTAATAGTAATTGTTATTTTCCTCGGAAGTAAAGAACATGTTCAATATTCTAGTCATGTCACTACACAGTGGTTGTTTCTGTACTGAATACATATTTTTGCTAAAGCTGATATGCAGTTTTATATTGATTTATTATAAAACAAGATAGCATTAACATTTTATGATAGATTTTGTATATTATAAAACTAATTTCCATATATAAGATTTTTGAAAAATATCTTCCAAGCGATATGGTAAAAGTTGTATGTTATGATCATTTTTTAATGTGTGATACGGCTTATTTTATACATTTATGGAAGTTAATTAAACAAAAAAAAGGAATTTTATCATTTCATTTATTCCTAGTTTATGAAGTAATCAAAAATTTTTGTATGCTTGCATATGTTTGTGAATAATGTTTATGTATGTGTATAACTCAGTTTGGTTTATTTTATGAGGTCATCATTAAATATTAATAATTATTTATGTTGCCTAAGCAAGTCACATTATATAGAAGGTTATGTATGGAACAAGAGTATTAAGATATTCTCTGATATTTCATGTATTAGGAATACCTACCAAAATCAAGGGCTGTTGGTCCTGTAAAACTATGTATGTTATACAGGAATAACAGCTAACTTCATTTACAAGTTTGCTGCCTGCAGTGGCGTTTACTGGCTGGATGTGGTAACATTTACATAATTCATACAAACTTACGTTATCATGATCTTCGTTAAGAAGAGTAAACATGGAATATCAAGGAAACAATAAAGTCCTTTTCTGGAATATTCCAGTCAAAAGTCAATCAGGTAATAAGCAAATAATTTTTACATTTTTCTTAGATTTAATATCTTCAGAGGATGCAGTGGAATGGTTACTTTCATACTTATGTTTTGTTTTGTAGTGAGTAAATACTGATACCATGATTTTATATAAATTGACCATGAAATTAGATTGTAAAGCATTCCTATTTTCCATTTGCATAAAAAAATTTCAACGGACAAATAAAGGATGGACTGAGAGTGTATTACACTCAGGGCTGTCGTGAAAGCAGCGTAGAAGGGGGGTGTAATGTTTTAAATTTGCCATAAAAAGGGTGTGGTTATTGTTATGGCAATTAAAAGTTAGTCAAATCTTAAAATAATACAGGTAATTTACAGCTGTTGTTTATTACTTGTTTGTAACTTGCTTTTGCTCTTAATTGGGGATTGTTTGAATTTACAGGAATTTTCCTACTAATGATTGTACATTAGATAATGTTTCTTTTTTCCCAGCATAGCATTATTTGTTTTGTGAAAGAAACACATTCTAACATCCATCTGATTATTTTAAAAGATTTTGATATGATTGCCATTTTATCTGAATTATTCACGACACCTGTTTAGGACCTGATTACATTAATTCATTTTTGTTGTTATTCATAACAGCATTGAAATGCTGCAGTACACCACTTTGTTAGAAGCATTTCTACTGGTGTAAATTATATAGGAAGGCAAGTTTCATCTTCATACATAACACTGAAGTTGAAACATCCTTTATAGCACAGATACATCTGATATCTGTTCATAAAAAGCAATTATAAGTATAACTTCAGGAAATAGTAACGATGGTGGATGTATTTTAACATCTATTGTCGTTGATTCAGTACGTAGATGCAACAGTATTTGTTCCCATTAAAGAAAAAAAAACTTTTAATAAGTCTACTTTACAAACTGGTAAGATAGATATTTTGAAATTTAGCAATTAGTAACTGTGCTGGGGCATTTCTCAGTCTTATTTGCTATTGACCATAGCTGCTCTTGTTGATAATTGTAAGTAATAAAGCTTTTTTTTGCTAAAGAGTTATATAATGTCCATCTATTTTTCATATAAATACATAATAATGTTAGCAGTAATTTGATTTTTAATTTTACATTTGATTATTAATTTTGATGCACATTATCAAATAGGAAATTTCTTTCTGGTTTTGGTGCTCTCACTTTTTCCTCAGGTTGCTTCTCACCACAGTTATCAAATGTATTTCATAAGTGAACATTTGTAAGAACGCTTGTTCAAACCATTGATAGCAGAAGCCTGTCATAAGTAGTACTTTTCTATTAATCTTGTTTACTTAAACATGGCTTCATAAATGCTTATTCCATTGAGTCAATTACTAGACCTTTACTTCATTCGTTATATTGAGGAATGAGTAAAACCAGTAATGTTATGGCAATGGATTGGTATCCGCCATAGGCTGGTGTCAGTGCCCACAGGTATGGCTGGTGTGCTGGAGATTGACGGGGAGAACCGGGGCGGCTTACCCGTCGGCTAAGGCCTGGGTAGGCATAGTTGCTGCTTGCTATGTCTTGCTCGGCTGGAGGATCATGAGTGATGAACTCAGCCCGGGTGCGGGAGCTTAAGTGGGTCTGAGCTGTGTCAGCTACCCGGGAACAAGGGGAGCCTGCGGTCCAATGGGAGAGCCGTGAGGTGTCCGTGGTCAACCAATCAGGTCTCGGTATGCGTCGTCGACAAGCTGCTGATGGTGAAGGCGAGAGGACAGGCTGTGGACCTGGACCCAACCTGGGGGAAGTATGCTGCGCTGCAAGTTGCGGGGGTCGGCGATAACCGTGATACTCCAGAAGGCTGGGTATTTGTGTCACTCTGGAAAGTCACCAGTATGGCAATGGATTGGTATCCGCCAAAGGCTGGTGTCAATCATCTCTTTAAGGAGCTTTTGTGTGTGGGTGTGAGTACCCTCAGGTATGGCTGGTGTGCTGGAGATCGCCGGGGAGAGCCGGGGCGGCTCACCCGTCAGCTAAGGCCTGGGTAGGCCTAGTTGCTGCTTGCTGTGTCTTGCTCGGCTGGAGGATCGTGAGTGTTGAACTCGGCCCGGGTGCGGGAGCTTAAGTGGGTGTGAGCTGTGCCAGCTACCCGGGAACGAGGGGAGCCTGCGGTCCAATGGGAGAGCTGTGAGGTGTCCGTGGTCAACCAATCAGGTCTCGGTATGCTTCGTCGAGAAGCTGCTGATGGTGAAGGCGAGAGGACAGGCTGTGGACCTGGACCCAACTTGGGGGAAGTATGCTGCGCTGCAGGTTGCAGGGGTCAGCTACAATGTCAGATAAACTTAACTTCTGTGGGTACACAGATTAATAAAACAAACCTGCAATTGACTGTGCATCTACCCATTAAAGGTGGATGAAATGTAACAATAAGACTATATTTCTAATTTGTATTATCAATTAACTTTTTGAATATTGCATTGAAAAAATTGCTATTTCCTTCTACAGCATTACACTGCCTCTATTCCTTTGTTAGGTAAGGTTTGTTCTTAGATATATAATATGGAGTTATACCTTGGTAGTATATTTTTGCAGTAGGTTTTGTTGAAACAGGAAATCATAAATTAAATTAACTTTGCGAGCCTTAAATAATTTTGTAGATTAACCAGATTCTCCTTTTTCCGTATGATAGAGGATAACACGAATAACACTTCACAGTTTGAAACAGTTCTTTATTTTTGGAAGAAGCTTGAAGAGGTCATTTACATGAGTTAAGAAGCACCTTATAAGTGTTAAAGGAACTACCTGCTTCCTTATTAGTGCAGCCAGGCCTCTTACCTGCTCTACCTCATCTGGCAAATACAAATGTCTAATTAGGACTAGTAATTACTTAATAAATAGAAGTGTAAATGTACCACAACAATCTGGTATTCATACACTTCTTGATAGTGAACCTGGTCTAGCTTTACAAATCTTGACTTTACTGTGTATTGTGCAGCTTGGATATTTATTACCCATCAAGTGGAAGTTACAATATGGAAGTATGATTTACAATATTTAAAATTGATAAAAGTTTTTTTTTATTACTATCATTCAAACATATGGACATTATGTACATAACATTAGAACATTGACTGACACAGTCATGTGTTTTCAGTTACTTGAGACTGCCAATACAAAGGATAAACTATATTAAGAGTCACTAAATACAAAATTTACAGTCAAATTTCACTGGGGTAAGTAATCTTAGATTTACGCACACTATAAATGCAGATTTACATTAAATACAAATAATACATATATTTGTAAATGTGTTAATTAAACTAATATTCAAGTGTTTTTGGAGCTTCAATCATTTGCATATTGATTCACAAGTGCATAATATAAGCAAGACTTAACAGTCATTAATGCATATCCTAGATAAGAAATATATTTCAAACATTAATGAAATAGGAAATCAGCTCATATATTAAAATCTGCCTAGAGTAATTATTAAAGTATATTTATATTCTAGGTTAGGTAACCTATGCAACACACATGGAAAGCAAAAAATAAAAATTAAATAAAAAACAATGGGACATTTTCTGATTTGATTGCAGAACACATGGATTGTGTAAAATGAGTACATGATACATGGTGCTGAATAAAACAACATTGCTGAGAAAACATTTTCCTAATATGCTTCACATGCTCTGATCATTTTTTTAAAATGATCCCAGTTTAATGTCTTTCATGCTTCTAATAAGTAAAATGAGGTTTTATGGAAAAACCTTGACTCATTTCATAACTGGTTTCCCACTTAACGAGGCTACGCAATGCAAAATGTTTATTTATTTTCTGATGAAAACTTGCATAAATGTATATCACAACTGCTAGACCTCATGTCATGACACACTTCTTTTTAGTCTAGAAATCCTCCAGAAAGTCCATCATTACCCACTAGTATAAATTATGATAACAATCCCTGATTTCTCCCATAAAGATGCATATTCTACTTTGTCAAATACATGATTTCTACTATAATCATATTTTAGAGGTCATCATGGAGCATGTTCTTAAAAACTATACATCAGTCTTTATGTAGAATTGCCTATCAGTGAGCCCTACACTTTTATATCTGCATTACTATAAAAGTTCCCTAACTTCACTTTGTATATAAAACAACCTATTTTGTTACCTAATTTACCCCTATTAAGCCTCTCTGTTACCAGTAAAGTCATTAAGAGCTATGTGAGATTGTTCAGAATATTCACACTAGATGAACTGCTGCAAATGTTCACTTATTTTCTTGATTTACACAAGATTTGGTCTGCTTACACTTGTCATCATTACTTTTGTTACAAAGTTGCAGATTGCTGTTGCTGGCTGTTCAGGTTCAAGTTCTGCCAAGATGTGGCACTGATTTTCTGTTCTGCTGGCTCCCTTCTTGGCTACAAAGCCAAACACTCGGCTGAAAGAAGATAGGTAAATATAGTGAAATAAGAAAATTGTGGTGGAAATAAAGAAGTTTATTTTTATTGATATTATTATTATTATTATTACTATTATTTCATTTCTCCTTCATCTTTTGATGAATATAGAAAAGTCTCTTACTGTGAGCCAACTGGAA